GTTATTATCTCTAAAATAACTAGCCCGAATGTGCGGGCATTACACCAACACCTCCTTAAAATGCTGCTTATGCTGCTCTTTGGTCTTAGAGTAAACCAGTATGTCATCAATAAAAACAATCATAGATCGATCCAACATCGGTTTGCACATCCAGTTCATGAGATCCATGAATGCTACTGGGGCATTGGTAAGCCTGAATGACATCACCACGAACTCGTAATGACCATAACGACTTCTTCAAGTCGTCTTCTATATATCCTCATCCCTGATCCTCCTATGATGATATACTAAACAAAGATCTATCTTGTAAAACTAAGATGCACCCTGAAGCTTATCAAATAAGTCGCCGATCCTCGAAAGCGGGTAATTGTTCTTCACCGTCAACTTGTTCAGTTCCCGATAATCAAAACACATCCTGTGTGACCCATGTTTTGGGATGTTGGATCTATCTTTTGGGAGTATGCTTTAGGAGTATGTTTTGAGAGTTTAAGAACTTAATGGGTTATGCCTCACTCTATTAAGTCAAAGATTCAGTTTGGGTTCATTGTAGGGGTTTTTAAGGGTAAAGTTGGAAACTATACCCTTCTTGTCATCATTTGGGAAGAGATATGAGATTGGAAGCTTCTAAATTCGATGGTAACGACTTAATGCATTAAGTTATTTGATTCTTGGACAACTCGGCGAGTCCAGTAGGAGAACTCAGCGAGTTGATGCTAGTTTTCGCGATATGTGAGTTTAATAGAGAAACTCAATGAGTTGAAGGACAACTCGGCGAGTTGGGTCAAATCGGACCGTTAACTTTAACTTTTGACTTATAATTAAGGGAATTATGGGATTAGTATAAGGCGCGTATGGGGTTGGGCCCAATTTGAAAAATTGGGCCATTAGTGGGCTTTGATGGATCTAGTAGTTTCTGGTATTTTGAGGTTGCGTTGTTAATGGGCCATCAGGATACAAAGTGTTTGGACTAGAAAAAGTAGTTGGGCCTTAAGTCAAGGCCATGTAAGGAGTTTGGGCCTATAGTATTTGGACTAGAAATGTTGTTAGACGTTCACCATTGTCTATATCAATCTATGATGAGTCTTGTGCAAGTGGGAGATTGAAAGATCTTGTATGCCCAAGAGTCATTATAGAATGATATTGCTAATACAATATGATCTTATAGGGTCACACCATATAGCAAGTTAGTGTCAATTGATTATTTATTAGTGTAATTTGATTATTAATAAATATATCAACATTTGTATTTAATTGGAAAAATTATTATTTCATGGAAATAATATTTGTACTAATTGAGAATTTATTATTTGTGGAAATAATATTTATTGGAGAAATAACAGCTTATGAAATATATCATAAAGTATGATTATTTATAAGTTATATCTTAATAAAATAGTTCAATTTATATAGAAGGTAGTTTTATATAAAATAAGCTAGTTATAATTTATATAAAAGATAGTTTTATATAAAATTAGATATTTATATATGACTATTATATATATATATATATATATATATATATATATATATATATATATATATATATATTGGGAATTTTTTTATAAAAATGAATGATTTTTATAAACATAACATATATGTATATATAAACTAGCCACGAGAAAACTTTTGCCTTCTTGTGATAATGCCTTTTTCGAAAATGGGAGGAGACAAGGCATGCATGCCTTGTCTATTCTTTTGCCGTGCTTGGGATAAAGTTGGCTCTTCTTTTACTTTATGGTCTCCTTTCACTTTTTGGCAATTATATAAGAGAGAGCATGGAAGGGTTTTGGATACACTTCTTGCAAGTCTTCTTCTTCCTCTTCTTAAAGCCAAATCCAAGAGCTCCATGCTCTCTAGAGGATTGCCAAATTTCGGAATTTGAAGGCTCTTCTTTTTCTTCATTCTCTTTCATTTTGATGCTAGGCAAAGCCCCTTTGTTGCTTCATCTTTGAACATATATTTGGTATAAATTTAAAAGGCTTATGAACAACAAATTACAAGTGAATACTAGCATCTGTTGATGGTTCTACTATTGCTTGGTGGATACTTATAGAGAACTCTTGCTTTAGGGTTTCATGCCACACTTCATCAACTTCCAACCTCCTATAAGGATCAAAGTCTTCAAAGGTTGTTATGTTTCCCTTCTATGGTTGTTTTAATCTTTCCAACGCTTGCAAAATGATCCTTGGTGGGTAAAACAATTTTAGTTTTATTCAACATTTTTTTAAAGCTTCCGATGTCAATTTTATCGGTTGTGAAACCATATTTTTTAATAAAAACCCAACAGTTGTCTCTGTGATACTTGCGTGGGAGATCTTAGGGGGTGCCTAAGGTAGTTGGATATCATACCATGGGGGGGGGGGGGCATGACATTCCAGGCAAAGACATGGGGGAGCCGATGGTATTCCGGACAAAGACCATGCAGGGGAGCCCATGGCAATTACATGTATGTTGCATGATATTATGTGATTGTATGTTATTTGGTATGTTGGGGAAACTCACTAAGCTTTGTGCTTACGGTTTTCAGTTTATGTTTCAGGTACTCCATTTTTCACATGGAAGAGCTCGGGATGATTACAGGGCACACACCACATATTTTCCGCATTCTGTGAATTACTCTGATTTGATGATATTTTTGCTAACTCTTAGATTACCTTGATTTCATAAGAAATAAATGTATTAACGACTTATTAATCAAAAATAAAAAAAATTATGTCTTGATTTTGGGGGCATTACAGCCGAAAACGCTGTGAATTTGATACGCCTTCTTCCACAATTGTATGACCCCTACATTGAGCTCCTTTTGCTTCAGTCTTGTATGGGTATTGTTAAACTTTTCTTTGGTATGAACACGGGCCAACCCGTGTACACAGAGGAGGTGGAGTTGTTCTTTGATAATGGGTTGCACCGGGCAATTGAGGACATTGTGGTTTGTGGTGGCCCTTTCTATGGAGACATACAGTGGCGAATTGCTTCCTTACATGTTAGGTTTGGTGGCTTGGGTTTATACTCGGTGATAGAGGCTAACTCATATGTTTTTGTTGCCTCAAGAGTCCAATCTTAGGTATTGCAAGACTACTTCTTACATGATAGCGACATATATAGTATGGATTTTGATTATGCTTGTGCCTTGGTTTCTCTTCATAACAAGCTTCCGGACCTTGACCTTAGCAGTTTTACAACTAAGGACACCACCCCACCTAAATCCTAAAATACACTAGCAAGTGATCTTTTTAGTAAAATTGTCCAAGATATGGAAGTGCATCTCGACATGACGGCTCATCAGAAAGCAGTTTTCTAGTGTTTACGTGCACCACATGCTCAAGATTTTGTTCTAGCTATCCATGTAGATAGGCTTGGCCAACATATGTTACATGTGGAGTATCGTACTATCCTCAAATATCGACGTATCATCCCAATATTCTCAACTGATGAGATATGTCTGGTGTGCCACAAGACATGTTTCGAATCTTTTGGAGAGCATGCAGTTCATTGTAAAGAACTCTCGAGGTTCAAATATAGGAACAATATGGTTAAGGATGTTTTTTTTTGACATATTTAAGTGTGCTAGGGTTTTTGCCAAGAAAAAGACTCCTCTGAACTTCTTAACTGACCCGACAGAAGAAAGGTCAACCCTTAGATCGGCCAATGTTTTGACTTTTGGATGAGTTAGAGGGAAACATGCATGTATGGACCTTACAGGGGTATCCCCTCTCGTGGGCTTGAGGGATGGGGTTTTCACAGCATGACAAGTTGCTTTAAAAGCCGCTACGGGCAAGGTCACCAAACATGAGAAATCGTGAATGGAAAATCAACATGTGTTCATACAATTTGCATTTAATACGTTTGGTTTCCTCGCGTCGGATGCGGTGAAACTTCTTTTAAGAGTACAACGGATCATGCATATATAACAATGTTATATCCCCTAGATCTATAGATGTAGTCTTCAAAAGAATTGATTTTACCAAACAAAAAACCTAGCAGTGCAGTTTGTTGTTCGTTTTCCATCTCACTTGTTATACCTGTATTTCTCGACTATCTTTTTTTTTCTTCTTCATATTATTAGATTAGCATTCCTTGTAGGGTTTTGATATTAACGTGCCTTTATATTGCTTCCATTGCCTAGTATTTATTCTATTTTTATAATTTGTAAAACCTATCAATTATGAGCTACATAATATTTATATTACCGGAGAAAATATAAAAAGTTGGTATTATCATTAAAAAAAAGTTTAAAATACATTATTATTATAGATAAATGAAAAATAAGATAACTTCTTTGTATTTTTTTAAAAAAAAAATGTAAAGTATGTCTTATTTCAACAAGTTACTACTTGAACTACAAAAATATAAGTATGTTGCTGTGATCACTAAAAAATATATATTTGGGACGTAAAAAATGTTTAAAAGATTTAAGGACACATTTATTGCTAAAAATGCTTGAATATAAATGTGATTATGTTCTCACTATAGAAGTTAAGCGTTTTTTCAGTTTTTCTTGAAAAATATAGTAAGTGTTATGCGGGGGTGGGGATTCAGACCGATGAGGGGCGTAGGAATTTCCCTTAACTGTCCGGAAGGCTGAAATAGCTTTCTCGGGAGCCTCCGGGGTGTTTGTAATGAAAATAACTAAATAAGGAAGATAATGGTGTGGGATATGAGAGTAAGAACATGCTCGACATCTATTCGGGTTACGTGGCTTCTAGTTTCCATGAAATATAAAATTACAAATTTAATGGAGAAAATTAGGGAATTGTCTTGGAAAGAATAATGTCTATTTTGGTAGATAAAGTGCAATCTTCACTGTTCTTCTCGGTAGTCATGTTCGTGATAGTCATCGCTACACAGACCAAGCTTCTATGAAGGAACTCATAACATACTATCATTGATTTGTTTATCATAAAGAGTTATCATATGCACATAAAGTAAATCACAATGTCCATACAATAAGAATTTGTTTGCACATCTTTGAATTTGAAACATATCCTATAGATTGTTGGGACTAATTTGCCTATTATCCAATCCCACTTTTACTATTCCCTATGAAATAATTATACTTTAGAAAATCTAGTGTGAAATTGTCAAGTTAGGATTCCATAATACACAAATAAATTATAATAGGTTTCTATCTTTTACATATATCCATTTAAAATATATAAAATATTGTAATGCCTTTATTTACGTTTTAGAATTCTTAGAGGCCCAAACTCCATGAAATCCAAGCGGAAAATTCAAATATTTAGGCACTTCAAGTCTTGCCACCATAGCATTTGTCTCCCCGATCCTCTTGGCATCCAAAATTACTAAATATGACTTTTGTTCTGATACTGCATACTGTAAGTCATTATCGTTTAGATATGGCTTTTTTCAAAATATCATAATTACTTGAGTTTAATGCATAAAATGATAAACATATTTTCATTGATTTAATTATTTACTTATCTTTTAGACATGGCTTTATTCAAAATATCAAAAAAACTTGAGTTAAATGCACAAAACGGTAACATATTTTCATTGATTTGATCATTTCTTTCACTTTATGTATTATATCACTATACAATGATAATTATACTAATCATAAGAATGTCATCCCGATGCATAAACAATTTCTCAGTGCTACAAATGGATATAGTTTAAAAATTATAATGTCATGATACGAAAAAAAATATAAAACTATAATGTTATAATCTTTTTGAAAGTTTATCTCCAAAATATATCTAAGGGAATTTTGAGCACGCACCTCGACAACAAGGATGTATCCATCATCTTCGGCACTTCCTTTTGAGACAAACATAGGCTCACCAATGAATCTTCTAGATCCAACAGACCATGTTTGGATGGAATTATTCACATTGTTGAACTTCACCACTGTATCAAATGGAAAATATGGCAAATCTTGACGAACACCCGACGTTGCTGCTGCATACATATATGTATTGTTGCTTCCACCAAATTCTTGATTAATAACTGGGAAATCAGTTGCTTGTTTCCATTCATCGTTTAGATTACTCACACAACATTTTTCACAGTTTCCAATTGCATCTAACTCAATTGAAACCTGTGTGGCATAAAACAAAGGACTTATTACTCCAATTATTTTTTGAAGTCACACAACCTCCAAATCTACCTAAAAATTTGCATATTCATTTGAAGTGAGACTTGAAACCTCAAATAATTAGCTGAAGTATGGTTTTCCTAATACCTTTTGAGGAACCCAATTAGGCCAAAGAGAAATGACATGTTAAAATTACGTGAGTTAGGTTAGGTGTCACATATAAACAATATTGTGGCTATTTCTTTGAGTTTCTAATATAAATGGTAACATGGTAATATATATATATATATATATATATATATATATATATATATATATATATATATATATATATATATATATATATATATATATATATATATATATATATATATATATATATATATATATATATATATATTGACAATCTATCTGAAAAAGAAAACACAACTAATAAAATTGAATGAGAGAACCTTGATAAGACGAGACGACAATTTGTTTTCTCCTTTGTCCTCATTCATCCCCCATGGGTCTACTTTACCACTTTGCCAATCATATCCTGTTTTAATTACCATCAAATATAAAAACATTTAAAATTCCTATTTTGTTACGTTCTATAAACAGACTAATGAAAAATAAGCGTGCATGTAACTTATCATTAAACTAGAATTTAGATTTTCATTTCTTCGGTGAAGAACATACCAAACATTTTTTGAAAATTGAACCACTTGTAAGAACAACCGCTTGCTTGTATTTGAATTTGTTTATTGCCTTTGTGATCTCGTTCTTCGGATGCATTCCCCATATGAAGCATCCACATTTGCAAAGGAGCTTCAATCGGCACTTTCCAATCCCTCCCCTGCGCACGCTCAGGTAAACGAGGCAACAAATATATCGGAGACGTTGAGTTACTATGATTCACTGATAATGCTGATACCATTGGAGTATATCCGCCAATTGCTGACATTGCTCCTAAATTTTTTTTCTTTCAAAGTGAGAAAATTAACCATAAAATAACAAACTTCTAGTTTATTGTAATTAATAGGAAAAATAAGTCAAATGACAATATATACCATGGTGTTGTAAAAAAATAATGTTTTTTTTGGAACGACATTGAAAAATAAAAAAGGCTAGCTAGCAGCTGGCCAAAACAAAATGAGAACAATTAGTTCATGAGCGGATTGTGAAGCCACCCGATCATATTTTTCCTAACTTTACGATTCCTACTAGATAACCAATTAAAAGAAAACGAGACAATAGAATTAAATATCAACTCTTCCTTGTATTTCAAGATCCAAAAAAGTAACGCATTCCGGTAAGTTCAAAAAACAAGTATTAAAGTAGCACAAGTCGTCTCAATGATTAATCTTCGATCATTTGCAATAGCTTAACTATCAATCCACTCCAAAACATCTTCAATAGAGTTAAAGGAAGGCACAAACAAATTAATCCATCCATCTTGCAAACTTAAGCCATAATTGACGAGCCATCGAACACTTCAAAAATAAGTTGACATTATCTTCTATCACCTCCCCACAACATGGACATAAATTAGAAGACAAATCAATTCCCCCAATGATGAAGGTTACTCCTCGTCGGTAAGCGATTAAGGATAAGCCTCCATATAAAAATACTATTCCACCTGGTAGCACTATCACCCATAAGAAACGACATGAGGTTTAAACCAGATCTGGCAGACTTAACGGAGAACATGTCCTCCACCCCAAAATCCATCTCCACGAGTCTAATTTATCAGTAATCTGAATTGAATCCAACATTTCCTGTAATTATTGAAGATGGGATTCAAACACTCCCCCACTTATCGATCTCCTTCATGAAATCTCCCAAGTATTACCCACCCAATAATCACTAATAGCTACCTCACAATTGACTGTCACAACAAACAACATTGGAAGTCTGACATTTAAAATAACATCCCCAACCTACACATCCAACCAAAATCTAATACTCGCATCATTACCTACTTGTCTTCTCAAAGAATCAAACACAATCTTACCATTATTATGAAGATTCGAAACTAAATTAACAACCCTCATCTAGACCCCAAACTTCGACTTATAAGAAGAATAAAAAAAACATCTTTACTCCCATGACAACTTTTGATCAAACTAACCCAAAGAAGATTAACACCGTTTAGGAATTGCATCTCCACTTGAAAGTTAAAGCCTCATTGAAAGCTTTCAAACTACCAATCGCCAACTCGCCATACTCTTTATTGTTTAAAATAACCTCCCATTTCACCCACTAGATTCATTTCCCTTTGTGTATCTTGGTTTACCTGTTGCGAATAAAATGCATAGGGTGGCGGCATAGTATACTGTTTTGGATGGTTTAAAAAAAAGACTTTCTATCTGGAAGTCTAGAATGTTATCTATTGGTGGAAGACATATGCTACTTAAATCCGTTTTGGGGAGTCTCAGAACTTATTATTTATCTCTTTTTAAGATGGTAGTTATTGTTTGTCAGAAGTTGGTAAAAAATAATGTTTAATATATATATATATATATATATATATATATATATATATATATATATATATATATATATATATATATATATATATATATATCTGTGTGTGTGTGTGTATTCGCGTAAAGCAGCAGCGATAAATAGTTTTCTAAACGAATAGTTACGAGAAAATAATTATTAGATTTTGTTATTAGTTATTATATAATAAGAAAAATTACCGCTTTTAATTAAAATATTTATGTTTAGAACTTATATTTATATTGTAAGTTTATAAGTTTGATGTAAATTAATTATTATCTGTATCTAGTTTGCTCCAAATTAATTTTTTAATAACATTCCTTAATTCAAAATTTTAAAGTTTTGGCAAGTATTAATGGTTTTGTTCAGCATAATTGATTGGTACAAAAAGTTTTGTATTTTGTACCTCTTAAAATTCAAGATATATATATATATATATATATATATATATATATATATATATATATATATATATATATATATATATATATATATATATCAAACTAACAAAATGAATCATAATATTAATAAAAAATAATTTGATTCACGAGAAAAACTTCCCAAAAAAACAAATTTATGATTCATTTTTAAGTAAATCATGAAAACTTTCACTTTTATGAAAATCTTAGTGAATAACAACAAAATTATTATAAAAATAAATCATTAAGATTTTTTTTTTCAGTATATATATATATATATATATATATATATATATATATATATATATATATATATATAGGATCGGGAGGTCTCAAAAATTGGTGAGTACTACCAGAACAATTGTTTGCCATTAAATTGAAAAATTAAAATAGTGGAGATTTGATTTTATTTTTTGTCAAAATTATATGGGAAACTATGACATTTTGGTAATTATTTGTGAGATATTTGTAATTTTCGGCGTAATTTAAAAGTTGGAGTGTTAAAATAAAAAAAATAAAAAAAATAGAAACAAAAAATATAAGGATTGTCTCTGCCAAAAAACGCACTGCACGTACGCCTTCATGTACTCTACTCCCCCCCCCCCCCCCCCCCCTCCCCCCCCAACTCTCATGCCATGTGTTACGATGTTAATGGTAGTTTGGATTTTTTTCCACCAATTTTGGTTTTTGGCTATAACCTATTTTTTCTATGAAAAAAAAAATCTGAAAAAACAAAAGTCGTTAAAATTTATTTTTACAAAATGAGCAAAACAATGATAATTATATATATATATATATATATATATATATATATATATATATATATATATATATATATATATATATATATATATATATATATATATCAAATTTTTATAAAAAAAACCTAGATAAAAAAATTCTCAGAAAATCAAGAAATTTTAAAAAATACTTTTACTCTTTATACTATTAACTTTATAAAGTTATTTTAAAAAAAAAAATAAGTTTCTGAAATGTTTATATTTTTATTTTAAGAAATAGAAGATTTAGAAAATATAATAGAAATTATTTTTTTCCATATTCAAAGAAAAAATATAAATGATAGAGTTCTTCCTAATTCTATTTGAGTGACTTTGTAAAAGAAAATTAAAAAAAAAATATTATAATTGTGTATACGAACATTTTTTTAAATGATTCTAACTTTTTATAAATATATGATGTGGAAATTTTCTTTCTCCAAATATAAATTCTTTTAATAATTATTATATATCATATATTATGAACATTTTGAAAATAAATTTTAAAAAATAAGGTTGTTTGAATACCAAACTTTATTTTAAAATATTAAAGTTTTTTTTCTTATAAAATATCGAATATAAAATGATCCAAAAAGAGATATTTTAAAATATTTACAATTCAAAAAAATGTTATGATTTAACATGTTTATAGTCTTTAATTTCTTATGATCTAAAAATATTCTAAATATTTTCTTATCCTTAATTATGTATTTTATGATTTAAAATATATAATGATCCAAAACTTATTATTAACAAAAACTTATTTAATTAAATATATTATTGATCCAAAAGATCATGCGATTAAATACTGATACTATCCAACATACTATGATTCAAAATGATTTGATCCAAAATTATATGTTTTTATACAAAAAAACTAATTATACCAAAAATTTCTATTTTTTATCATCAATTAATAAACATTAACACTATTAAAAAAAAAATCATCAATTCAAATTTACACTGTAAATCTGCATTGTATATCTTTCAATTTTAACAATCAGAATGTGAATTTGAATTACTATTTCAACTATTTCATCATTCTGAAACTAATTTAGTGAAATTTACATATAAATTGAAATATATTTCCATATAATTTTATAATATTTTAATGTTTGATTACTCATAAATTAGTTTTATAAAATCAACAAATGGATTTATTATGAATTTGTACTGTATATAATTTGGTTTTGAAAATTTCATAATGTGAATCTAATTTAATGATTTTCACACTGTAAACCTAAGCAGATTCACAATGTGAATGTGAGCAGATTCACAATGTGAATCTGAACTAAAATAAATTGGTTTTGTAAAATCAACAAATGAATTTATTCACATCGTGAATTTAAACTGTATATAATTTAGTTTTCAAAATTCATAATTTCAATCTGACTTACTATTATTTACATTGTGAATCTGAGCAGATCTACAATGTAATTCTGAGCAGATGCACAATATAATTCTGAACTGAAAATTTAATTTTTTTTTTCATATCAATATGAATTTATGTTTAAAGAGTACCGAAAGAATATGATTTTGATATATTTATTAATTTTTTTCGATACCAAAAAAAGACTTTAATTTTTCAAAAACAATGAAAATAAAGTGAGCTTTTTTGGAAAAAGAAAGTTAATTTTTCATACATATCAGGATGGATATCTATAGAAATAAGATGAAAAATCATGAAATTTTGTATATTTGTTTTTTTTCAATAAAAAAAATGACCTAAAAAAGTAAATTAAAAAAAGAAACTGAATTTTGGTATAATCCGCTACATGCACGTGCATAGTAAAAATGTCTAGAACTCTTCTTTTTTTACGTTGATCCCTTTAAATTTCGATGTTTTAGATTGTTTAATTAGTTAATTCATTAATAATTATTCTCTATTGAATTTTTTGGTGTATATATGTAGCATAAAATTTAACATATTTGTTTTTTTTTTTTTTCGTAAAAAGTGTTAAAAATAAAGTATCAAACAATTGATTGCTGAACAGGTGTCGTTTATTGACGAATATTTTGTATTTTTATTATCCAACGCTTTACATTTTTTGATAAAATAAATATACTGTAACTTGTACGTTTTTATGACATAAAATAGACATCAATATTTTGTTTTGTATCTTATTATCACAAAAATCAAAAATTCTTTTTAAACCTGTTCGTATATCATGAAAGAAAATTACCAAGAATGTCAAGCTTGATGCGATTGCCAAATAATATATAATGAGAATCTGTGAAAGCCCAATCGTGAACCATGAGATGTTCGGGGATTCGAAATTCTTGCTTTTGTTGGATCTTGAAATTAGAATCAAATTCTGCAGGATAAATAAAATATTTCAATATACAAGCATCACAACTCTCTCAACTCTCTCTCTCTCTCTCTCTCTCTCTCTCTCTCTCTCTCTATATATATATATATATATATATATATATATATATATATATATATATATATATATATATATATATATATATATATATATATATATATATATATATATATAAAACGCTAGGTTCAAATATTTAAAGTAATTATTGTGTTATTCTATGCATCAATGTGGATCAATCAAAATTAAATAATAAAATAAATAAATAAGGGTAATTTAGTAATTTGTTTAGTAAGTTCAAAAAATAATCATTATAATCATTGTATTGACTTATAACCTAAATAAATAAGCGTGTCTTCCTCAATTTCCTACCCGATAAAGCCCTAGCATCCTACAAGGTATTGACGCTTTCAAATCACAAAGAAGACCGAAGAAAACGAAGCTCACAGGCGGTGCATAGTCGGTCAATTCGCAAAGAGAGTAGTTTTCGGGTCGACGAAACCGAAGAGACTGGGGAGACGTGAAGAAACAACTGAGTTTTGCTTTTCTATTCTGGCTGCGAGGTGTGATGTCCAGCTTCGCAAGGAGCGGCAGTGGCAAGGCGAAACCTTTGCGACTTTGTATTCGATGGGAACAACAGAGAAGGAAGAAAACAAGGGGAAAGGCGGGGTTTGATGGCAACCATTTGTCGCAGGTGAGGACCTCGGTGGTGTTTGCTCGAAGATCACGATGTTTCCTTGTTTTGGCAGTTCCAAATCAACCACAGGTAAAAATTTCTTTTAGGATTTTGTTTGTTTGTTTGATAGAAATCGTTGGGGTGTTTAAGTTTGTTGGGAAATCAATGAAAATGAAGGGAATATGGGTTTGTTGATTCACAGGAAATGAAAAAGGAAGAAATTAGTTTTTTTTTTTTTTTTTTTTCTCTCCCTTCTAGCAGCTTTTAGCTGCGTCAACTTCTGTTTCTTAGAAGTAGTGATTTAGGGGTGGTGTATGTTTTGTGCTTTGATCGACAGAACAAGAAGAAAACACCACACTAGAGTGTGTGGTCGTTGCATAAGACGAAAAAGAAGGTGGAGGTGGGGTTGTCACAGTCGGTTGCTCCATCTAAAGGTAGAGATATTTTTTTGTTGTTTTTATGATTCCTTTGTATAATTTGAGTTAGGATGGAAGGTTATAAGAGTGTAAATCAATACTAGTATGGACATTCTTACTTCAAAGTAGAGCTACATATTTTATTTAGACTCAATTTAGCGTTTCTTGTCTTTTTGGGGTTTTAATACCCCTATCGTGTTAAAACTTAAAACTAGAGCTGCATATTTTATTTAGATAACATTTTTACTTCAAATTCATATATATATTTTGTTCTACTAGAAAAGAACTAACTGTTTTTGCTTTCTTTATGTTTACTCTGCCATGCAATATCAGGAGGCCAGGTGTATCCTGCCTAGGCAAATTTTTACTTGCATTTTGTATTTGACGATTACAGAATCTTGGAATAATGTTATTCATTTACGTGAAGGCTGATGTGGTATGGATAATTTCTGTATGTTGTTCATCCGAAATTGAAAGTTGTTTTGATGCACACCAAGCGCTCGCTAAGATGCTTCAACTGAATGGTATTTCTTCGTTTATAGTATTCCATCAAAAAGAATGTTTTTTTATGATAATCATGAACATATTCTATTAGAATTACCCAAATAATATTATTATTGGTAAATGAATTCCAATTATATCATAATGGAATCATGAATTCCAATTACGTTGGAATGAAATATGGATATTTTCTCACTAACTTATTCATCGGATTTGTTTCTACAGAAGCTGATGCTTGAAGAACAGACCACTAAATTTGAACGACGCCTCTTAGCAACATTATTCTTTTAGAATGTATTAGTGTATTTGTTAGATTTTGATGTTTTTTTCCAGATTTGAATTTTTTTTTTAGTTTTATTCTTTAACAATAAATGTAATTCTTTAGCAATTGTTACATGTATTCTATAAGAATTAATGTAATTTTTGTTTTAATTCTTCAATTGATGGTTCGAGAATTTTGTAATTCTACAAGAAATTTTTAAAGTCATGATCAAGAAATATGTTCAACAATATTTTTATAATTTTATGGTTCAAGAATATTTTTATTTTTGAACATACTCAAGCATATTCTGTCAGAATGTCCGAATTAAAAACCTTATAATCCGTAAAATCGGAATTTTAAAATTAATAGAATCTATGATCCCTTAAAATATGAAAATTTCCTTTATTAAATCTATGTTAATTGATTAAAATACCCTTCTAGTTAAATTAGATGATATTTTTTAATTATATTAAATTCAATAATATGTATTAATCACTTTCTTAAAATAAGTAAAATGATTGGCCCACATTTATGCATACAATAACACAATAATTACTTTGAATATAATAACCTAAGCCTATATATATATATATATATATATATATATATATATATATATATATATATATATATATATACATATATATATATATATATACACACACACACACACATATATACTAGGCGAATATCCACGCGTTGCGCAGAAAAAAATTATGAAGTTAAACTTTTGGTAATTATATGATATTGAATATATATTTAAGTTATTTATATTGGTTATAAGATAACAATTATTACATTTAACTGATGTAATATTATAATTAATTTGAACATTTGATAAAATAACACTTATTAAAATCAAATCATTTAATGGTCTTTATTAAAAATTTATTTGTGTATAATATTAATTATTTCTCAACTATTTTAATAAAACTACTATTATGATTTATCAAATTTTAAATTTTTTTGGCGATGTTTTAAGTTTATCAAGATGATTATTTAAACTATCAACCATTTTTTGTAATATAACATAACTTAATTTATAACTTGATACTATTCTATCAATTATTATTATTATTAGTATTACTATAAGTTAAATTGAAAACAACTTAATTGAATTTTGGTTATTACAAAAAGTAGTTTTTGGATATATTTTACTTAATACAACATTTAGATTTAGGTTCTTTTGAAATGATATTATTTAATATTTTTCTCTTAAATATTTTTCAAAATATATATTGAATTTTTTTTAAAAAAAATATTTGATATTTTACTTTAGGTTTTAAATTTTACATTATATTTTAATTTTATTTAATATATTAATATATATTATTCATTTAAAACTATATTAAAGTCAACAAATTAAGTACAGCTTCTTATAAGATAACAATTGTTACATTTAAATGATGTAATATTATAATTAATTTGAATAATAGATAAAATAATAGTTATTAAAATCAAATCATTTAATGGTCTCTATTCAAACTTTATGTGTTTAAAAATTAATTATTTCTCAACTATTTTAATTAACTATTGTTATAATCTATCAATTTCAATTTTTTTTTTTTCACAATGTTTTAATTTTACCTTGATGATTATTGAAATAATCAACCACTATTTGTAATATAATGTAACTTAATTTATAAGTTTACATAATTTTTAACTATTATTATTATTATTATTATTATTATTATTATTATTATTATTATAAATTAAATTGAAAACAACTTAAATTGAATATTATTTATTATAAAAAATAGTTTTTGGACATGTTTTAGTTAATTATATTTTTAGATTTAGCTTCTTTTACATTTATGTATTTAATACTTTTCTTTTAACTATTTTACAAAATATATAATGGTTTTTTAAACTTTATTTGATATTTTACTTTACGTTTTAAATTTTACACTATATTTGAAGTTTATTTTATATATTGATACATGTTATGCATTTAACATTATATTGAAGTCAATAAATTAAGTATATCATATTGATAATTCAAGAGGACTTCCATTTGTGACAATGTATATAACTAAGAACATATTTAAGTTAATATATTAAGTATATTATGTGGAAATATGAAGAGTTGGGAGTTTCAAATTGATGTGGTGAAATGAAAAATGTTTCCTTTATAATATAGTATGATATGATATATATATATATATATATATATATATATATATATATATATATATATATATATATATATATATATATATATATATATATAGATTTATTAATGATTTTTAGGATTGGTTTTTTCACTTTGTTGTTCTGGATTTTTTTTTTCACTTTGCGTCAACTATCATACAAGGTGATCTTGTGTACACACTTGTTTAGGTTGTATAAAAAAGGGGTTAACAAAGATTCGCTTAATTAGTTGACTATGTATTAGGATAAGGATCTTTTGTAATATTCTATTGGCGTATTGAAAGTCCGTAAGTTTTGAAATTTTAATCGATTTTGTCCTTTCAATGATTTTAGATGCACTAATGTCTAATACTTTAGAAAACTTGTTCATTTTTCCTTTTTACCTCCTACAACAAGTCATCAGCTCCTTAGCTGATTAATTCTTCCTCCCTACTCTTTCTCCCTGTTTCTCTTAAGAAACTGCTGCTACCACCACCACCCTTTGCCCCCGGAAAATCGAAAAGCCCCCACCATTTTCGGATCTTCACATGCCGGTGGAACCACCTTCCCTCCACCATCAAATTCTACCTACTATCATTGTATTCTGACAACTAAACCTACCTATGCCACCCTCCTCATTCAGGCAGAAAACTAAAAACCCTACCCTTTTCAGATCTACATACACCAGTGAAACTGCCTTCCCCCACCATCAAACCCCACCAACCATCAATGTCTTCTGACCACCATAGCTACATGTACCACCTGCTCCCTCCATCAGAAAATCAAAAACACTAGCCTTTATGTTCATTGTAAACCCTAGCTGCCACCATCAATTGTTTGTCTTTTCATTTTTCAAAAAGTGTTGGTGGTTTAGATCAATATGACCAAAGGACTGTCTACTAATACAGAGGCGTGATGCTGGAAGTCGCGTAAGGTTTATTTCAGTTGTGAGCATGCATTATGTATATATAAGTTACATCGTATGAAATAGGTTGAAATTAAAGGATTTATATTAAATGTTTGATAATGATTTGATCGGTTTATAAGAGAAGGACTTGTGTGAACTTAAGTATATGATTTAGGAAGGTTCGTAAGGTTTAATCATGTATATGAATATGCACTTTAGGTGTGACATTGCATCCCGGGTATTATTCTTTTGAAGTTCCTCGTGTTTAAAAAACTTTGAGGCTTTGCACTTCCGCAGCGTGGTGGGTGGTTTACCACGATGTAGTGGTGCTACGTCACCATGACATGACATTCATTTATCGGCCACGACGCGATGTTGTAATGTGCATATAACCCTAAATTTCAGGCTTTTGACCCTATATCATGTATTTGTTTAATGATGTTAATTGTGGCTTAAGAACAAACGTAGATAGCTTTTTGTTTATTATGTATATAGTAATGGGTTCTAATGATGTATACGTGTGTATGTAAGTTTATGTTATATATAACTTGGTTAAAATGTAGCAATCAAAATATAATAAAATTGTGAAAAAACGAAACGAAAAAAATGACATTTGACCCTTGAAAAATAGAAAAATAAAAAAAGACCATAGATAATCTGTAGATAAATACCTACGGATTACCTTTATCTGTTGGTAATTCATAGGTATTTACCTACAGATTACCTACGATATCTTTTTATTTTTCTATTGTTTAAAGGTCAAATGTCGTTTTTTTCGTTTTTTTTTTCACAACATAATTATACTTTGGTTGTTTTTTTTCACCGAATTATACATTTGCATGTAAGTTTATGTTATGTATAACTTGGTGAAAATAAAGCAATCATATTTTCCAAATTAAATGCGAATTGTTTTATATATTTACAAATTTTATAGTAAATATTAAAGTTTAATAAATTTAAATTTTAGTAAATACTATATCGATGGGATTATATTCAATTACTCAATTTAAGTTATATTTTTATAAAGAATCAAAAGTGTAAAATATATCATTTATAAAAAATAGAATATTTATACACTATATTAATTATATTGAAAAAAAAACATAGCTGATAATTTTCAAATTATATTTACTTATAATACATCAATTTGCCAATTTGTTGATACCTACAAAATTCCTACGCAATCCTTATACCTAAAGAATTTCTACGCCTCTTAAAACCAAAATTCCCGCTTCACTGATCGTGCAACAAGCTCGTCGATCAAACTTACCCAAACAAAACCCTAGCTTACACGGGCAATATCCGAACCCTGCTGCAGCACACATCTGACGGTGATTCTCGACTGATACCTACATAGGCGACATTTTCAGGTAACCAGTTCGACTTCTGCAATTTCCAAACGATCGATCGGCGACCCACATTGACCAAAACGTTGTTGGTTTGCCCTTTAACCATCGATGTTGTACACCACCAACAACGCTGCCTCGTACCACCACCGTCGTTGTCCCACACCACCATTGGCGACACCCTAGGTATGTATTTCGATTTTAGTTTGTTCACAAGACTTCAAATTTTCAGAAATCTAGTTTGTATCTACTGTAAACATATTGTTGCATCAATTCTATGTTAAATAAGTTCTATGGATGAAAGTCTATCTTCATTTAGGGTTGCATATCATGTATATTTTAAATGTTGGTTTATTTCGGTCAATAATAAACAGTAAACATATTTTTTGCATCAACATATTGCAAGGAGTTTTGACCAAAAAATTAATTATTCTAGTCTTGCATGATATGAAAGGGGTATTAATCATGGGAATGCTAGCAAATAAAAGGCAATTTGGTAGTGGGCGGGCAGTTTGGGTATTTTAGCTTTTAAATCTGGTAGATAAGGATTATCTAGTAATTTTGTGTCTCTGGGTTATTTGCACATGACCATTTTTGCAGTTTGCTGTTTTCATAAATTTCCCAATATTCACAACTTTACTACATTGATATGTTTATTTGTTTACTGTAAAGTACATTGCTATGTTAATTTGTTTAGGGTTTAATTAAGTAGAATGATAGGTTAAATGTTGCTTATAGATCGCAATGACATCAAAATGAACCAATTTCAATACTCAGAGATAAATACTTTGTGGAATTGTTTAAATACAAAGTAAGTAAAACCAGTTCAATCGTACTTGTTAATGTTTGTGTTTTTTTCAACAAACATTTTGTGTATATGCTCTTTAATGTAGGTAACGAGGGACTTAACCGATGAAAATGCTAAATATTTAGAACCTTAAGTGAATGGCCCCTCGCAGGATGCTTGGTCTTACAATGACTACTTTGTAAATGGTTATAAGTTCCACAAACAAGAATATGGTAAAGGACATGAAATGAATAAATATGGACTATGTGTAAGGGGGGAGATGTATAATGGCGAACAATTAGACTACTACGGCTTATTGGATGAGATCCTAGAGATTGACTATTATGGCATTGGGCGCTCGACTGTTGTACTATTCAAATGCACTTGGTTTATTAGTATACGCAGTGTAGTAGCTAACAAAAATAAATTGGTTGATGTTAAACCTAAGTCTCGTATTCAAAGTAACAACCCTTTTTGTTTGGCATCACAAACGGAACAAGTATTTTATACACCATATCCTGCAGTGACAAAGGAAACAAAAGATCTGTGGGCGATTGTCAAGACAAAACCAAGAGGTGTATATGAAGTCATCGAAGCTGAAACAAAAGTTGCGCTTGATGGAAATACAGAAGCCAATGGATTCTTTCATCTTGATGAGCGGTTCGAGTTACCGCATGAAGTAAATGTTAGTGAACGTTTGAGCCGAGCCTCGAATATAACTAACTTTGAGCAAATATCTTCCGATGAGAGTGAAGGTTCTGAAGCGGAAAACCAAGAAGATGAGGATAGAGACGAACCAGTTTATTTTGACTGCTCTGATCCAGATGATGACAAATTTTAGGAACTTTGTTTTATGTTATATGGTATATGCACTTTAATATTTTTGTTATCACATTTTATTTTTGATTTATAATATGGTATGTGTACGCTAGTCTATTTGTTATTTTTCATTATCATCTAGTATATCTGACTATTTTTGTTCCATAAACGCAGAATGTCGGATAAATGCCTAACACGTAAAATTTTTCCGGTTGGTCCTCTATCGGGTCGTAGGCCATCCTCTTTGTGTGACCCTAGTGGCCTTCCATGCATCCCTCTTACATGTGGTTATGCACCAGGAGCCAGGTCATCACCTTTGTCTGACCCTAGTGGCCTTCCACACAATGCTCTTATAAGTGGTTTTGTATCAGGAGCCAGGTCATCGCCTTTGCCCGATACTAGTTGCCTTCCAAATAACATTTTTACGGGCAATTCTGTATCGACAGGTAGGTCATCTTCTGCCCTTAGTGGCCTTCAACACAACCATTTTTTGGTTGGTTCAACACCAAGAGCCAGGTCATCGCCTGACCCTAATTGTTGGATTAGGTGTCTAAGGTTATAACTATTTCTGGAATGTACTTGATCCGATTAGCATGGTCCATTTGGGTTGCATGGCATTATAGCACTTAGATAGACTAAATGAGAAAAATAACACTTATGGTTTATTAATATAATATAATTTCAAATATATTAATAATAGTATTTAATTAGTATTGATCACGAATTAGTTTAGAATTAATTTGGTGATCAAAAGGAGACTAATTAAATATATGGGGTTGATTGTGCAAATCATCCATTCTTTTATAGTGAGCTAATGATCCATGGTTTATCTAAAACCCATAAGGTGCTCCATGGATAGTCCATGGAGATTATCAACCTCTAAATCATGGAAAATGAAAATCCATGTCAATTAGGGTTTACATGTTGTAACCCTACTTGAGACATAACTATAAAAGGACCCCATGGGCTACCAAAATCAAAACTGTGTGTAGAACAAGAGGGCTAGCTGATTTTGAGTGATAGTGTACTACTCTCAAAGTTATTCCAAGAGTTGTGGTGTTGTGTGAAACATTTAAGGCATCAAACTTGAGGTGCTAGGCTCACAAGGTTCTCAAGTAATCCAAGCAACAAGAAAGGTATGTCCTCCTACTAGCTCTTATGTTTCAAAATTCCCCATGCCATGCTAGTTAGGTTAAGAACCTTAGAAAATCAAATTTGCATGTATCTTAGTAAAACATAGATCCAAGGTTTCTAGGGTTGCATGTACACTTTAGGAGTGTTAGAATGCTCAAAACCCTTCACTCATGGCCTTCCATGCATCACTTTTCCAGGTGGCCTTTCACTCACTTCAGTTAGGACGACAATGCCAGGATTCTTAGGGAGTAGTAGGATGGGTGCCATAAATACTCACATGGGCTTGACTGATGCTATAGCAGATATAGGGGTGGTAAAAAATGTTGGGAATGATATTACATATGGTTATGGGATGACAAGCAACAATGAAGAGCCTGAGCATGGGCAGGAAATCTATCCATGAGCCAGGGTTACCAATGGTTCAGACGCCCCATTACTCGGGTACATATGGTGGATCAAATGATGCAGATTCAAATGGCTCTCATATGCCATTTATCACATGCATGGGGTACAACTAAGTCTTTTTTTATTATTATTTTTTATTATTTTTATGATTGGTGATGTTATAATTATACTTATAGGGTTATTTCAATATGGAGGTTTGGGAGACAAAGAATTCGACGAACGATCTTAAAGATATTTTGGCAGTCTGTAAATGAACATTGGATTACTTATAAAAAAATTCGGAAGGAAGTTGTCACTAAAATGTTTGAGTGTTTCAGGGTAATGTATTAATTATTTATTTTTAATATCTATTTCTCATTCATTCTTATGTTGCATTTTTAACTTTTACTTATTTTTTTTACAGACTCAATATTGGTGGGATCCAAATGAAGAAAGGAGAAAAGAGCATTCGTGAAGGTTTTAAGAATACGTTGAAAGATCGCTTCAGGGATAGAATGAAGGATGCTAGGGAAGCATCGCCAAATTCTACACGAAAAGTTGAGCACATTATCGTATAGATTAATGATAACTTTAAGATTCTTGCAAATTACAATCCTGATGAAATATATAGAGATGTTTGGGGATGTTTGTGTAGGGTAAGCAATCTAATACATTATTGCTTATTTTGCTTTTATTTTATTCTATATTGTAATTATATATATATCTATATATCTATATATATATATATATATATATATATATATATATATATATATATATATATATTAAAGAAATGAGACACAGATGAGTGGAAAAAGTTGTCCAAAAGTCGAAAAAAAACCGTAGCACTGATTCTAGGGGGCAGCCAGACATACAGGTGGTATCATTGGATTTGAGGAGCACCGTCTTAAATTGGTAAGTAATCATAATTATAGATTATAGTGATATATTTTTCTTTCAACGCTAATTGCATCAATTATGTTGTGTCGTTCATATAGAAAGAGTTGACGGGTGAAGACCCCTCATTCATTGATCTTTATTATAAGACACATCTTACCGCCGAATCAAAGAAAATATATTTTGGGTAAGTAAAGAGGTGCTAGTGGATTTTGTGAATGAGACATCTAGGGTGATACTAAGTTGTATTTATGTTTTTATATATTTACTAATATTAGTTTTTATTTTTTAGTGCAATGAGAAAAGCATTCTTTTGGTATATTGTAGGAATCATATAACAAAGCTCTATCTCAAAAATATGGTGATGATCCGACTCAACATAATGTGAATGATCCTGAATTGTGGACCCAAACACAGTTGCTTAGGAAAGGCGGGAAACAAAAGGTCCTATCTATGGGCAGGATCCTCAGATCTTCACTTTTTGATGACGGGTGCATATTTTTCTAAGTCAACTTCAGCTTCTGTTGACTTTGCAAAGTCACGATAGGCGATACAAGTATTTGCATAATATATTATAGATAAAAAAAATTAATTAAAGAGGTAGTTAATATTGATGAAAAAATATGTTGATATTGGTAAAGTACATTGCTAATATAGGTGAAAATTGAAATATGTTGCCATTATTAATATTAGGTAAAGTGCATTTGTATTATGGTTGAAAATGATACTATGTTGCTATTATTAAATTAGGTAAAACATAATGATATAATGGGTGAAAATTATAGTATGTTGCTATTATTGATATTAGGTAAAGTAAATTGTTGTTATTGATAATAATTTAAGTACATTGATATTATGGATTGAAAACGTAAAGTACAATGGTATAATGGATAAAAATATAGTATTTTATTATTATGCATATTAAAAGTTATTATTATGGATATTAAAAACAATGTACATTATTATGAGTAGTGTGTTATTATTTTGAATTAAAAGTAAAGTACATTGCTATCATGGTTTAAAGTTGAATTACCTTTACCAACTGCATGTGGTTGTCTTGCTATTTTTAGGTAAATGAGTTGCGACAACAAGTGTCACACATGCAACAAACCATGGATGAAAAGCAAAGTCAAATGGATTTGCAAATGGAACAAATGAAAAATGAAATGGAATTGCAAGTGCAACGACAATTGGCGGCATGTATGAAACAAATCAATCCGTCCGGTAATCCACAAAGTAGTTCTTAGTTTTTGTTTTAAAACACTTAATGAATGTTATGTTAATGACTAGTTCTTAGCTTTTGTCATGGTATTGTAATGGTATTTTGAGTATTTGAATGTATGAATGATATGTTATTGACTATTTTAATGTTAATGAATGTAATGGTATTTGACTATTATTTTAATTATTTTTTGGTTTTTTTAAGCGGAAAATTTGGATATTTTTTAAATTATAAATTTAATATAGCAATAGATTTTTGACTGAATTGTTGGAAATAAATATTATGTAGGTATTATGAATTTAATATAGCAATAAAAAAGGTAAAAACTCATAGAAAATTTATAGGAAATAAATATTCTATAGGAAATAAAATACAATAAAGTCTGTAGGTAATTTGTAGCAAAAGCAGTTGGTAGGTATTCCGTAGGAAAAGATGTTGGTAGATATTCTGTAGGAGAAGTAGTTGGTAGGCATTATGTAGGAAAATCGGTTTGTAGGAAAATAATATGTATGTATTTTGTAGGTGTTACGGAGGTAAATAACCCATAGATAATCTGTAGGTACTCCGTAGTTAACGTCTTCCGTAGGTATTCCGTAGTTAAATTTGTAACATAATACTCCATAGGAAATGCGTGGGAAAGTTTGTAGCTAATTTGTAGGAAAAAATTACCCACGAGGGTTTTTTCCTAGAACCCATTTTTTGTAGGAAATCAGTAGGTAACGCCTTGTTCCTCCGGATTTCCTACCAATACTACTGTAGGTAATTACTTAGTTTTCTAGTAGTGACTCTCTAGACCTTTGTAAATCTTCTCAACCAGATCTTGGTGGTTCTTTTTCTTTTAGGACTTGAGTTTAAGCTAGTTTTGGTACATTTGATGAGTTTTGAGTGAGTGGTTGAAATAAAGCTTGCAACTTTATTGATCTCAGATGTCATTAGAGCATCATATGTTTTAGATTTGAACTCCTAAGTTGTGTTGATTCCATGCATGGGGTTTTGACCCCCCTTTAGCACCATTTTGACCTAATTTGGTGTATGTCATGCATTGGATATACATATCCATAAAGTTAGGATTTTTATGGACCATTATGGTGCCATGAAGTTCTGTAAAGTATTAGTAGTGGACTTAACATATTAAATGCTTAATATGGACTTACATCTGCCATCGTGACCACGATGTGGTCTAGTGCTGACCACGACGCAGTGGGCAAATCCATCATGTTTTCTATTTGAGCTAGACCACTTCTATTTGAGCTAGACCACGACATGGCCAAGGTATTGCCATGATGCGTGGTTTGTATGGTTGACTTTGACCATTGGCCATTGACTTTCTGACCAACCTTTATGTTTTACGAGTTGTGGTGTGAATATACTTCGACTCAGAGGTGAGTCTTCTCACTATACCATGTAGGATGCTAGAATGTCTTTGTGACTCTTTCATGTATGTTAGATGGGGCCCGTTATGTATGTAGGTCGAGGTTCATTGGGTGGGACCCGTTATGCAGATTGGGAGAGGCTTGTTAGGTGGGACCCGATATTATTATTAGGCGAGGCTTGTTTATACACTTGCTGGCTTGGGCCCATTATATGTATGTTATATGTGGTATTTTTGAAAACTTATTAAGCTTTGTGCTTAAAATTTTATGTTTTAAATGTTTCGGGTACTTCTTGTAGCAAGGTAAGTGCCATGCTTGGTTGCACCGCACCAATGGAGATTCCCGCACTATCTTTTTTGATGTTTATCACTTTGATGTTTTGAAATTATAACTTATTACTTTGATTGTCTTTTAAGTAAATGGATTTGAATGGTTTTAGTTTATTTTGAAATTAAAAAGTTTACTCTACATTTTTGGGACGTTACAGTAAGAATACATGTAATTCATAAAAAGCATGTGAAAAATGAAAAGTTTTATGTATATTTTGTTTAATGTCATATATTCCGGTATCAGTTACGAAGAACTAGTGTAGATGGAGAGTAGCAAAAAACTTATGAAGAACTAGACATAGTTTCTTATTTGTGTATGTATTACTTCTTTACTATGATTTTTCATGTTAGCAGTAATACACCCCCTTGGCACGTTTTGAAACAAAAAGTAGCCTGTTTTGATTTTTGTTGGATCATATTTTACTTTGGCTAAAATAGTAATAATGTTTTCAAAACCATAATATTTGATTTAATGAAATTTTTTAGGTGTTACAAAGCAGATCTACAAAACCACTTGACTTTAAAAAACGACCATGTTCCTCCGAACCCCAACATGAATCGAAATTAGCATTAGTGATTTGGGTAAAAGAGAGAGTTGGAATAGAATTAGAGAATGTAGAATGTTGGTATAGTTTTTCAAGTGGTTGATATTGTTAAAGAAAACTAGTCGTTCAAAGAGGGTTGAGATAGATGTGAACCCGATCATACCTTATCTTGTTGATGTACCTATTCTAGAAGTAAGTAAAAAGGAAAATTCAATTATAAAAGTCAAATTCACAAAGATTTTAAGAACGGATGAGTTTTTTAAAAACAATTGTAGTGGAGCCTAAAGAGATAGGAGTCACCTATTATTCTAAATGAGTTTTCTTTGGATCGACCAACCGACCTCTCAGATATTGGAATAATTTCAAGTTTCAATTTCTATTTTGTTTATGAACTCAAACTTATAATCCTACACGATTCATGACTAATGAACTAGATCCAGGCTTTTTCAAGTTCCATTTCAAGTAATTATGATATAATTATTTTTATTTAGACACGTACCATAAAAGGTGAAGGTACTGCGTGGGAGGAGCAGATCCTCTGCGTTGCATGCCAACATAAGCAGCGTATTCCTGGATGCATCAATCTTATAATGAGCCAATAATCGTTTTGCAGGCATCTTAAAAACCCCTGCACGTATGCCACAAAAATCAAAATACATATTAATATATGTTTTTTTAATAATAACTAGGAGAAGCTTTGCACTTTAGTGCGAGCAAGGGAGGTTAGTGTACGCATAGAATAATGTTTACCAACACAATCATTTTATAATTTTTATAAAGAAAATTTGCATACATACCTTCAAAGTAGGAAGTTATAAAGAGTAGGGATCAGAAGATGCAAATCTCAAAAATATGGGGCCATCACACCAATTTAGTAAAGAGTAGGGACCAGAAGTGGTAAATCTTGAAAATATGGTGGCAAATTTCGGAGAGAACAATACTATACTGTTCCTCAATGTTATGGGAATTAATGGTATATAATAATAATAATAATAAATCTTGCAACTAACAGCACTTTGTTCGCACACATAAAGCAAGAATAATCTTAATAAATAACGTTGATACTATTTCAAGAATTATAAAATCTTCCAAGTTAATTTAATAATGTTTAACGATAGTTTATTAATTTAAATAAAAACATGGAATCATATTGTAGTACTTTTGTTTAAATAATAAGAAATTTTCAAATCAACAACACTTTATTCGGACACA